AAACGGATCTGGATCGTTCACGTGCGCATGAACAAATCCAGACTGTCCGATCGCGGGCACGTGGATTGTCAGTGTGGCCTCTCGCGTGGCACTGAGTCAGTGTGCATTGCCACGTGACACGCTCCGGTTCGTCAAGACTGCTGACTAGACAATCTTACATGGCACATTTTTTTAAATTATGTTTTGACCCCTAATTTCCGGTTTTTCTTTTAAAAACACCTCCTGAAATCCAAAATTTCACCCCATTTTCTCAAAATTATTTTTAATTTCATCATCCACCTATTTTTTTTTTCTAATTTTACATTAAATAAAAATTTATAAATTTAAAAAATATATTTTTATATATTAATTTTAATTTTTAAAATTAATTTTAGACCAAATCTCGAGGCTGGGTATTACTTTATAAATATCTAGTGTATGTCTTGCACGAAAAAATCGTTTTAACATTTTCACTGTCAAATTTATTCAAATGTAGGTAAAAATTATAATTTTGTTGACAACACTTTTTGATGCACATCGATCTTAGCATCGGTAATACTTTTTTTGGGGTGAAGCAATGCTTTGAGAAAAAAACATTTTTAGAATTGAAATAAATATTTTTTGTTGTAGTATATGCTAATACATTACTTTTTTAAAAAAAAAAAAGTACAAAAAGATTTAAAGTTGTTTTGATAATTAAACTTGTCACTTACACAAAGTATATCCAAACAATAAATTGAAAAAATATATGATAAAATGTCAATTTAAGGAACCTAAAAATGTAAACTCAAACAATTGCATTTATTGTAGTAGTAATCCTTGGCCACAAATCAACATATCCCTTCCAAATTGATCAAGTGATTACACATTCTTTCACTTCACCTTTATGATTGAAAATAAGATCAATGTTATTTTTGAAGTATATTTGTACTCTTATATTTTCTGAATGGTAATTTGCATTACCTCAAAATTATAGTTAGGAATGATAAAACTCGAAACGAATTGATGAACCTGAGTCAACTAATTAAAACTATTATGTTTATGTTCATTTAAAAAGAAATAATTAATGTTAAATTGGGATGTTTTTTTTCCTTGAAATTAAGATAGGCTGAGTTCAAATAAATAATTTGATTGATAACAAATCTTACAAATTAGATGATTGATAATAAATTCTATATGAGTAATTAGATATAATTAAAATATTTGATTGACCGTTAATTAAGATTGAAAAGATAATTCAATCTCCTCTTATACGTGCATATATAACTCACCTTTATTCAATAAAAATCAAATCATTATTTCTAATTCCATATTTATATGTTCACTTGATCGAGTGTAATGTATCTTAACCTGTCTATATATATATATATATGTATTGTCATAAAATGATAACAATATTATTAAGGAACTTTAATTTAGTGGTTATCTTGCTTTTAATTTAGTATTATGATTTAAATTTCAAATTTCCTCTATTACAAAATTCACTTACATATGAAAGTTCTACTATAAA